GGGGCGGGGGCAGGTGCGAGCGCAGCCTGTGCCCGCATCCCGCCCCTCCCCCCGGCCAGGACCGGAGCCTTGCGCGCCCGCCCCCACCGGGCTCCCGGCCGGGGGGCACGTTGGAAAGTGCCAAGGAGGTCAGCCCCAGGCTGCCCCCCGGGACACCGGGAAGAGGGAAAGGGAGTCCCGGAAAAGAGTCTTTCCTCCAAGCGCTGAGTTGTTCCTAGTCGCCTTCCGCTGAAGCCAGGCGAAGGCAGGGGAGATGGGCACCTAGCCCGACCTAAGGTTAAGCCACCCCTTACACATACCTGGTAACTCATAGAAAGAGCCAGCCAGCTACCAAAAGAGCTAACCAGCTACAAAGTTAGTGCTTCAGCATGTGTAAGGGGGTGTTCGCTGAGGCTGTGTTGGTCTAAGGACACACAGGCAGACAAGATGCTTTGGGGAAATGTGATATCTTTTATTAGACCAACTATATAGTTGGGAAAATTGTCCTTTGCAAATTCTGGGGCACCCAACACCCTTCTTCAGATGCCTGAAGGAGGACATTGGTGCTCAAAAGCTTGCACAGAACATTTTTTCTTTGCAAGTTTTTGTACCCAAAAGCTTGCAATGTTTGACACCCTTCTTCAGGCACTTGCGGCACATGAAGAAGGGCGTTGGTGCCCAAAAGCTTACAAAGAACGTTTTTTTCCAGTAATATAGTTGGTCTCATAAAAGATATCATGTTTACCCAAAGAACATTGTCTGCACAAATGTATGGACTTAGGAGCTGGTTTTCAGTCAGGTTTAATTTGAACGTGTGGCAGGGCCCTAACTACATGAGATTATATGTGGAGAGAGCACAATGTGCGTTAGAAGAGTGAAAGGGGGTCTTTTAAACAAATCTTTCAAGTGCTGTGAGAGGTAGTTTGTAACCGTGTTGATTGGAAGGCAGTGGAGATAGGTCTGGCTAGGTACCTAAGACCCCTGCACACCTTACATATTTATGGCAACTCATGGAAAGGTCTAGCCAGCTACCAAAAGAGCCAACCAGCAAGGGAGTTTAGGCTGAATATTAGGAAAAACTCTCTCACGAGCAGGGTGGTGAAGCACTGGAAAAAATTACCCAGAGAGGTCATGAAATCTCCATCCTTGGTGATTTTCAGGGCCTGGCTTGACAAAGCCCTGACTGGGATGATCTAGTTGGGTATGGTCCTGCTTTGAGCAGGGGGTTGGACTAGATAACCTCCTGAGGTCCCTTCCAACCCTAATCTTCTATGATTCTACAAAGTTAATGCTTGAACATATATAACAACTTTGGAGCTGGTTTCTAGCTAGCTTTATTTTGTATGTGTAGCAGGGCCTTAACTACAGTAGATTATATGTGGAGAGAGCACAGTTTGTGTTAGAAGAGTGAAAGGCGGGGTCTCTTTAAAAAATTGTTCAAGTGCTGTGAGAGGTAGTTTGTAACCATGTTCATACAAAGGCAGTCAGAAGGCAGAGGAGATGCACAGCTATGCAGTCCTAACACCTCTGTTGCACATTACATATATTATGCAACTCATTAAAAGGTCCAGCCAGCTATCAAAAGAGCCAACCAAGTGCCAAGTTAGTGCTTGGAAATGTGTAACAACTTTGCAGCTGATTTCCAGCTTTAAGTGTGGTAGGGCCCTAACTAAATAAGACTACATATGGAGAGAATATACAAACTTTCCTGGGTTGAAGCGGACTTTGTCAGATGTGACGTTCAGCCTGGGACTCCTTGCATCTATATAGGGCCCTGCTATACATTCGGATTAAAGCAGGATAGAAACCAGCAATAGACGTATTACACATTTTTAAGCAGTAACTTTATAGCTGGCTGGCTCTTTTCATAGCTGGATTGACCTTTCCAGGAGTTGTCATGAGTTGTATTGTGTGATAATTACTTTGCCCATGTGGCTGCTCTCAATATATTGCATGATTAACCAGTTCATTGTGTGATAATTACTTTGCACCTGTGGCTGGTCTTGCTTTGCACATGAGGGGTCTAAATGTACTGTGTGATTAACCAGTCAATTGTGCAATCTATATAATCTGTAGCAGGAGCCTATATCTCATTAAGTTATTCTAGAGAGCTGCATATATACCTTGCCTTCTATTTCAAGTGTTAACATGTAATTATATGGATTTTGATACCTTCAAAAAGTGGGGGCCATTCAGATCGGAATGAGTTAAACTATTAGGACTGAAGCGTTACATATGTGTAAGTAGGTTAAAGGTTGACCTACCAGTTTTAATATTAAACAGGCTGTATAATGCTTGATACAGCCCTTTTTGTAAAAAAAAAAAAAAAATTCTGCCTTTCTTTCCTTAATAGAGTTCACAGATGCACATTTCTGAGCAAAACAAATTTCTGTAAAAGAAAATCCAATTAGTGTCAGTTGATAACTGCAAAAACACTTAAATGTTTGAGTAACTGTATCTATCTGGATGTTTTAAAGGAGTCTTAAAGTTTTAAAGTTGTTAGAGGTGGAGTCTAAATTGTTTTACCTGTGGCTTCTTTTTGTTTCAATTACAAAATATGATCAGTTTGTCTTGCAGTCATGAATAAGTCATTTGTAAGTTATTATTACACCTGCTTGAGGTATGAGGAATTTAAAGACTATATTAGTCTTTTATGAAAAGTTGTTAATATGAAAACATGAGTTAATCTCATGCAGCTAAAGTTAATGAACAGGATGTTAAGTAATAAGGTCCACATGACATCCGGAACTGAAAAAACAAAACAAAACACTTTTAGATACCCAAAAGTATTCATTGTAGATGTGTTTTCAAGTTTTAGGGTTGCTTGTTTAATATAGTATAGAGGACCAGTTGTAAATATGCTTTAGGAAACACAGCTTTTTTTTTTTATTCTAGGTCCTACATATGCAGGACTATTTGACATGAGTTATAATGAGTCAAAACCATGGTGTAAGCTTCCATTGCTTCCTGTTGTGCACTTCAGATTTTATTTACCTGGTCAAGTTGCCTAGCTCATCATTTTATAAATAATTTGGAGAAGTAACAAAGAGAAACTTCGGTTTACTTTTTTGTATCTACCTTATCATAAGGGGCCATTACAACCTAAAGTTTACCTCAGGTAAGTTATACCTCACAAGGGAAAAGAGGTGCAAAGATTTTTGGGATTCTGAAAGCAATCTAGCCCACTTATTAAATAGACTTTCATAGGCATTAGGGCTGGAAGGGACCTCCAAAGGTCATCGAGTCCAGCCCCCTGCCCCAGGGGCAGGAAGTCAGCTGGGGTCACAGGATCCCAGCAAGATAACATCCAATTGACTCTTAAAGGAGTTCAGAGTAGGTACTTGCACCACCTCTGGCAGAAGTCTGTTCCGGGCCTTGGGGGCTCGGACAGTAAAGAAGTTCTTCCTTATGTCCAGCCTGAAACGGTCTTGGAGGAGTTTGTGACCATTTGACCTTGTCATCCCTTGGGGCGTTCCGGTGAACAGGCATTCCCCTAGATCCTGATGCACACCCCTTATATACTTATAGGAGCTACCAGGTCACCCGAGCCTGCGCTTTTCCAGGCTGAAGAGTCCCATAGCTCTAAGCCTCTCATCATAAGGCCTGTTTTCCTGCCCTCTGATCATGTGTGTGGCTCTTCTCTGGCGCCTCTCAAGCTTCTCCACATCCTTTTTAAATTGTGCAGCCCAGAACTGGATGCAGTACTTCAGCTGCGGCCTCACCAAGGCCGAGTACAGAGGGAGAAGGACATCCTGGGATTTGCTAGAGAAGCAGCTATGGATGTAAGCCAGAGTTTTGCTCTCTTTGCGAGCTGCAACATCACATTGATGGCTCATATTCATCTTGTGGTCAATCGTGACCCCCAAGTCCCTTCTGGCTATGGTGCTAGCAAGCATAGCACTGCTAAGCCTATAAGCATGCTGTGGGTTTTTCTTCCCAAGGTGGAGTACCTTGCATTTTTCGGTGTTGAAGGCCATCAGGTTTTCATCCATGAATTTTCTGAGCCTGTCAAGTTCGGCCTAAATAGTCTATATTTTAATGTTTGGGTACTATTAATACTAGCCAGCCTCTTCCTATGTGCAGATTTCCTCACTATCCTCTTAACTGGTCTGTATCTTTTACTGGGTGCACATTGTTAGAAGACGTAAGTGAGGAAATATGGATTTCAGGCTCTAGCCTTTTAGGGGAAAAAAAATAGCAAATGGAATCATCTAGACCTCCATGAGTGCCTTGCAGAGAGAGGCATGAATGGAACAAAGCCCTACAAGAGCAGCTTCTGTACTAATCCATATCATACTAAGGACCACATGGATATCAGCAAAAGTAACATGGCACAAGGTGCTGAGTGGGGCACCAGCCCCAAGCACCAATTTATTAAAAAAAAAAAAAAAAGTGTCAGAATCACCCCTCACACCCCATGGATTCTTTACCTTGGCAGCAAGAACAGACTGTGTTGACTGTGTATGGACACCATCCTGCTGCTGTAAGACCAACAGCTGGGGCAGGCAGAACATGCTTCAGTGGTGGCAAGAACCGGGGACTGTTTTTTCAATCCCTTACATGGGCAAGACTCCTGAGCACCTCCCCCTGGCTCTCAAATTCCCAGTACTCTGCCCCTGCATCTTGCCCCTGTTCTCTGAACCCCATCTCTCTAGCACTCTCCCTCACCTGCCAACCCTGCTTTTTAT